AGGCTGGAGTGCTGTGGCCGGATCTCAGCTCACTGCAAGCTCCGCCTCCCAGGTTTACGCCATTCTCCTGCCTCAGCCTCCCAAGTAGCTGGGACTACTACAGGCGCCTGCCACCTCGCCTGGCTAGTTTTTTGTATTTTTTTAGTAGAGACGGGGTTTCACTGTGTGAGCCAGGATGGTCTCGATCTCCTGACCTTGTGATCCGCCCGTCTTGGCCTCCCAAAGTGCTGGGATTACAGGCTTGAGCCACCGCGCCCAGCCTTTTTTTTTTTTTTTTTTTAATTTGGCAACAGAGTCTTACTCTGTCACCCAGGCTGGAATGCAGTGGCACGATCTCAGGTCACTGCAACCTCCGTCTCCCAGGCTCAACAAATTCTCCTGCCTCAGCCTGCTGAGTAGCTGGGATTGATTACAAGCGTGTGCCACCACGCCTAGCTAATTTTTCTATTTTTAGTAGAGACGGGGTTTCACCACGTTGGCCAGGCTGGTCTCAAACTCCTAACCTCAGGTAATCTGCCCGCTCCACCTCACAAAGTGCTGGGATTATAGGTGTGAGCCACCCCACCCAGCCAGTAAAATACAGCTGGTAAAATACTTTTTAAAGGAAAGATAGTATCTTAGCAGATTTAATCAATCCTGGAAACATGGTAGATGGTAGTTATTTGATTGAGAGAATTATAATCTTATTAAAGAGTATTTACAGTTTATCTTGAGAAAAGTTTGCCCTTGTCTTCTAGTACAAACAGATTTATGTATTAGTGTAGAAAATGCCTGCTTATGGTGTACGCAGTGGCTCACGCCTGTAATCCTAGCACTTTGGGAGGCCAAGGCAGGCGGATCACCTGAGGTCAGGAGTTTGAGACTAGCCTGGCCAACATGGCAAAACCCGGTCTCTAATAACAATACAAAAATTAGCCGGGCGTGCTGTTGTACGTCTGTAATCCCACATACTTGGAAGGCTGAGACAGGAGAATCACTTGAACCTGGGAAGCAGACGCTACAGTGGGCTCTGATTACGCCACTGCACTCCAGCCTCGGCGACAGGGTGAGACTCCGTCTCAGGAAAAAAAAAAAGATAATGCCTGATTAGCACTTTGAGAGGCCAAGATGGGCAGACTGCAGGAGCCCAGGAGTTTGAGAACGTCCTGGGCAACACGGTAAAACCCTGTTTATACAAAACATAGAAAAATTAGGCGGGCATGGTAGCATTCTCCTGTAGTCCCAGCTACTTGGGAGGTTGAGGTGGAAGAATCAGCTGAACCCAAGGAGGTCGAGGTTGCAGTGAGCTGTGATCATGCCACCGCACTCCAGCTTGGGTGACAGAGTAAGATACTGTCTCAGGAAAAAAAAAAAAACAAAACCCAGAGGCCAGGTGCGGTGGCTCATGCCTGTAATCCCAGCACTTTGGGAGGCCGAGGTGGGCGGATCACCTGAGGTCAAGAGTTCGAGACCAGCCAGACCAACATGGAGAAACCCTGTCTCTGCTAAAAATACAAAATTAGCTGGCGTGGTGGCATATGGCTGTAATCCCAGCTACTGGGGTGGCTGAGGCAGGAGAATCACTTGAACCCGGGAGGCGGAGGTTGCAGTGAGCCAGGATCACGCCACTGCACTCCGGTCTAGACAACTTCGTCTCAAAAAAAAAAAAGAAAAAAAAAACCCCAGAAAAATACCTGATTAAAAAAAAGATAGTAGAAAATTACGTAATACTTTTGAAAATATTCATGTTAATGTACTATTTGTTAAATTTACTTATTTATTTATTAAGTCTGTAGTTTTTTCTTTTGCATTGTATAACTTCAATATGATGTGTAAAACATTTATTTCTTTTATGTAGATGACAACCCGTGTTGATGGTCATTCCTGGGCTCTTTCTGCGATAGATGAATTGAAAGTAGATAAAATAATTACACCCTTAAACAAGGATCATATTCCAATAACTGATTCACCAGTTGTTGTACAGCAGCACATGTTACCTCCGAAGAAATTTGTTCTCCTCTCAGCACAGGTATGTACGTATTCTGTTAAGGTAGTGACAAAAATAAGCAATATATAATATTTTTGTCAAGTACTCTGAAGTAGTGGCTTAATGGAATCATATCATTTTCTTTTTTTTTTTTTTTTTTTTTTGAGACGGGATCTTACTCATCACCCAGGCTGGAGTGCAGTGGTGTGATCTCAGCTCACTGCAACCTCTCTGCCTCCCTGGATCAAGTGATTCTCCTGCCACAGCTTCCTGAGTAGCTGGGATTACAGGCGCACGCCACCACACCTGGCTAATTTTTGTATTTTTAGTAGAGACGGGGTTTCACCATGTTGGCCAGGCTGGTCTCAAACTCCTGATCTCAGGTGGTCCACCTGTCTTGGCATCCCAAAGTTCTGGTATTACAGGCGTGAGCCACTGCACCCAGCCTTCCTGGTTTGTTATTTGACTTTGTTTATTGAGATTTTTCCCAGCACACAAGCTTGTAAGTAATCAAAATTATCAGTTATTTGATATTTTATTTTATTTATTTTATTTTATTTTAGACAGGGTCTTACTCTCACCCAGGCTGGAGTGTGGTGCACAGTCTTGGCTTACTGCAACCTGTGCCTCCCAGGCTCAAGGAATCCTCCCACATCAGCCTCCTGGGTAGCTGGGATTACAGGCTTTTGCCACCACACCCGGTTAATTTTCGTATTTTCTGTAGAGACAGGATCTCACTAAAGCCCAGGCTGGTCTCAAACTCCTGAGCTCAAGCTATCCACCCACCTCATCCTCCCACAGTGCTGAGATTATAGGCGAGAGCTAATCTACCCAGCCATCATTTGAAATATGTCATAGTTGAAAAGCTTCCTCTCACTAAGGTTTATAAAAGAATCCACTCGTAGTTCCTTTTGTTTATTGATTGGTGCAAAAACAATTGAGGTTTTTGCCATTGATTGCAATGCCATTACAATCAATGCTTTTGTACCAACCGAATACTCAATTGCTTTTGTACCAACCTAATACTATGATGCTTTTGTACCAACCTAATTGGTACAAAAAACCTCAATTGCTTTTGTACCAACCTAATACTATGATGGTTTTATTTTATTCTTTAAGTCGTTTAATCTATTTGGAATTTATTCTGGTATAAGGTATGACTATGTTTTTAGCTTTTTTTTTTTTTGTCTAAATTGATCAAATAGTAGCAACCTGATTAATTAATAATCTAATTGTATTTCTCTGGTTTCAGGGGCAGCTTTGCAGGGGCAATTGCATTAAGTTTTCTTCATAGATACATAGATCTACTGGAGGTTGAGTTGAGATGTAGATGATCCTTTTGACCAGTTGTACTTTTTATATCATGTCAGCCAGTCCTCCTGCCTCAGCCCCCTGATGCGCTGGAAATACAAGTGTGGGCCACCATACCCAGCCTACTTTGTATTGTTGAAGGGTTTTTTTTTTGTTTGTTTCATTTATTTTATCAAATAAGGTAGCAGGGTCTGTTGCTATCAGCCAATCTTGGTAAATCTCTTTTTCATGTTCTTTCTTCAAATTTCTTAGGGGAGCCTTATGTTTCATAAACTTAGACCTGTAGATCAACTGAGGCATCTACTTGTGAGTAATGTGGGTGGAGATGGAGAAGAGATTGAAAGATTCTTTAAATTACATCAGGTAATTATATATACTTTTTTAAAATGTGATGCTATTTTAATCAAACAGTGGGAGTCATAGTTTATGTATATTGGGACTGGAATACTGTAATAAATAGATTTCTTTTTTGAGATTGAGTTTTGCTCTTGTTGTCCAGGCTGGAGTGCCATGGCGCGATCTTGGCTCACCACAACCTCCGCCTCCCAGGTTCAAGCGATTCTCCTGCCTCAGCCTCCCTAGTAACTGGGATTACAGGCATGTGCCAGCACGCCCGGCTAATTTTGTATTTTTAGTAGAGACGGGATTTCTCCCTGTTGGTCAGGCTGGTCTTGAACTCCCGACCTCATGTGATCCACCAGCCTTGGCCTCCCAAAGTGCTGGGATTACAGGCATGAGCCACTATGCCCGGCCATAAATAGATAATCTTAACAATATTCCTTTCTTTGCCTCAGTCACTGTACGTGAACTGACATTTGAAAGCAGGATTAATATAAGTCTTATAGTGAGCTTTCAGATTTTTATTCTCTGTTGTTGATAATTTTTTCTTTTTTTTTGAGACATAGTCTCGCTGTGTCTCCCAGGCTGGTGCAGTGGAGCGATCTCAGCTCACTGCAAGCTCCGCCTCCCAGGTTCACACCATTCTCCTGCCTCAGCCTCCCAAGTAGCTGGGACTACAGGCGCCTGCCATGACGCCTGGCTAATTTTTTGTATTTTTAGTAGAGATGAGTTTTCACTGTGTTAGACAGGATGATCTCGATTTCCTGACCTCAGGATCTGACTGCCTCGGCCTCCCAAAGTGCTGGGATTACAGGCATGAGCCACCATGCCCGGCCTGTTGTTGATAAATTCTTATTGAAGTCTACTAGTAAGTTTCTTGTTCAGGTTATATGATAAATGCCTTTTCATTAAAAGCACAAGACATTTAGGGACAAGTTCTTTTTTGTTTGTTTGTTTTGGCTTAATGACCTGAGGAAGAAACTTGAGGCAACAGTGTAGAGATCTTAGTATTTCAGAGCCATAACTGGAATTGATATGGTTAAAATTGGGATAGTTCAAAGTTAAGTATACAGACCCTGGATTCAAAGCACCTGTGTTAAAAATCCCAGCTCCACCACTGAGGTAAATTACTTGACTTCTCTGGGGTTCGGTTTCCTTATACATTATAATAGTATGTGTTATGAGGATTAATATATGCTAAACTCTTAAAATAGTACCTGACACATGGTAGGTATTCAAAGTTAACACTTATTGTTAATTTCTAGAAAGTAGAAAGACCACAGGAAGAAAATTGGAGACATAAGGTGGAAACTAACTCAGAATCTAGGTGAAAAGGAAAATAGAGCATTCTGTAATCCTAGTGCTTTTGATGAACCTAAAATAAAACCAGTAGTGTTTACTTGTCTTTTTAACACTAACTGATTTCATTTAGTCAGCAAGTATTTATTGAACGCCTGCTCTGTGCTAGATACAGACTTTAATATTGCATCTAGCAGTATACAAATCATTTTAAAAGTTTATATTTAATATAAGGCCAATATTCCTCTTTTTACAGGAAGACCAGGCTTGTGCTACTTGCCTTATTCTTGCTTGCTCCACTGCTGCCTGTGACAGAGAAGTATCTGCCTGGGCTACTCGGGCTTTCTTTAGGTATATGAAAGGTTTTTTGTTTATTTTATTTTTTTTTTTACTGGGCCACTTTTTAAAATGATCTTATTATCAATGTGATAAATTAAAGCCTTGCCAAACAGTTGAGTGACTATGTAGGCAAATTACCAAAATTCATTTGCAAAAGCTGAAATCTGGAGAGATTATAATGGTAATAGAAGCAACTAAATTAGCTTAGTTTATGCATTATTACTTTAACTCTGGACTCTGTTCTGTAACTTCTTGTCTACTTTCTATACTTTGTTCTACCTGTTACTGTCTCATCTATCTTTTTTACTTCCCCAAACACTATGCCAATTCTGCTTAATATGTATCATTAGTATTGAAGGCTTCTGAATTATTTTAAGGAAACTTGGTACCAAAGAGATATTTCTATTTAGAAAATATTTAAGAATTTGAAATGTGATTTTGTTAGAAATGTTTTTTGAAATACTATCTAACCATAACCTAGTGCGAAAATTATAATGCCATTTACTCACAGAGTAAATTCTATGCATTGCATATCTTTTTCTTAGAAGTTATCGGAGTCCCTTATAATTCTTCCTGGTAGCAATTTCAAGTCCATATTTACTGAATAAATATTATAAGTCTTATGCATATATTTTACTGTCAGCACAATACGTTAAAGTCTGTAATGTTTAAAGCATTTATTTGGAAGCTAAGCAGGAAAAGGAACAATTCCAGTTTTTAAGATGGATAGTTTGTTTTACTGAATAAATTCAACCTCTTGTCATAAAAATAGGTATGGTGGTGAAGCACAGATGAGATTTCCAACCACTCTTCCGCCTCCAAGTAATGTTGGTCCCATCTTGGGGTCTCCTGTCTATTCTAGTGAGTATGAAACATTGAAATGAAATTGTTTCTAATCGTTTGAATCTTAGAACCTTTATAGCAATTTTTGTCAATAAACCTTTTCGTTATGTTTTATTTACTGCTACTGTATAATTGATGAATATATCTGTAGATTCTGATTCTTAAAAGTGATCTATTAATATTGAATCCTTAACATAAGGAAGCAAAATAAGATGTGACCAATCATATGTACGTAACTCATTTGGTGTATATTAAGAGGGGAGGCCGGGCGCGGTGGCTCAAGCCTGTAATCCCAGCACTTTGGGAGGCCGAGATGGGCGGATCACGAGGTCAGGAGATCGAGACCATCCTGGCTAACACGGTGAAACCCCGTCTCTACTAAGAAATAAAAAAAATAGCCGGGCGAGGTGGCAGCGCCTGTAGTCCCAGCTACTCGGGAGGCTGAGGCAGGAGAATGGCGTGAACCCGGGAGGCGGAGCTTGCAGTGAGCTGAGATCCGGCCACTGCACTCCAGCCTGGGCGACAGCGCGAGACTCCGTCTCAAAAAAAAAAAAGAGGGAAACAGATGAATGATTTAATAGTAATTAACTCCCACATCAGTGTTTTCCAAGGTGGGAGTTGTTAGAAACTTACTAGGAGATGAGTCCCTAATTCTTGCATATATCGTGGACAATGTAAGTCCTTTTTATGCTTATAAGTAGCTTCTGTGGCCAGGCGCAATGGCTCACACCTGTAATCCCAGCACTTTGGGAGGCCGAAGTGGGCGGATCACCTGAGATTGGGAGTTTGAGACCAGCCTGACCAATATGGTGAAACCCTCTCTCTACTAAAAGTACAAAAATTAGCCGGCCTGTGGTGGCGTGAGCCTGTAATCCCAGCTACTCAGGAGGCTGAGACGGGAGGATCACTTGATCCCAGGAGGCAGAGGTTGCAGCAAGCCGAGATAATGGCACTGCACTCCAGCCTGGGCCACAGAAAGAGACCCTGCCTCAAAAAAAGAAAAAAGAAATACCTTCTGTATCTAATTTTGATCACATTCAAAAGATTGAGATGTTCTTTTCTAAATCTTTATATTCTTCTTTCCCTTTTTAGGTTCTCCTGTTCCTAGTGGTAGTCCCTATCCAAATCCATCCTTTTTGGGAACACCATCTCAGGGTACCTCTTTTCTTTGTTTTGGATTGCTTCTACTGCTCATTTTGAAGTGCTGACATTATGAGTTATCCTTAATGCTTAGTGTGAAAAAGATGAACTTGCCTTATTCCCTTGAAAATAAATATACGCTGTCCAACCAAGTTTTAGCATTTGGATGTGAATGCCTTTATTTAGGAAGAACTCCTCTTATAATATGCCTGGAAAGCCCATTATTTGGGTTCCAGGATTAAATTGGACCCTAAAATCTGTGTAATTAGTTCTGTTTCACTGTCAGCATTACAAGCAGTTATTGCAAGTTTGTTTCCTTTTCGTTCTGCATTGTGAACACTGGCAAGTCTACCTGGGAGTATCCATGCACGTATAAATCTCTCTTCTTATTAAGGAAAACCAAATTAAGTATCTATGTATTTCATTATTTTTGTAAATACCTTTGTGTCTAGATACACAAACTTGGATTATTGAGAATTCTGAATTTTATGGGTTCTGTTTTTAAGATACTTGTTTTTCTTATGTGTGTACAAGGTATACAGCCTCCTGCCATGTCAACTCCAGTGTGTGCTCTGGGAAACCCAGCAACTCAGGCCACAAATATGAGTTGTGTGACTGGACCAGAGATTGTGTATTCTGGAAAACACAATGGTATTTGCATTTACTTTTCTCGGATCATGGGGTAAGTTTGTCATGAAATAATGAACTATTGCTCACCTTGCCCCATCTTGAGTAGTTAATTTTTTTTTTTTTTTTTTTGAGACGGAGTCTTGCTCTGTCGCCCAGGCTGGAGTGCTGTGGCGCAATCTCGGCTCACTGCAAGCTCTGGTTCCCAGGTTCACACCGTTCTCCTGCCTCAGCCTCCCAAGAAGCTGAGACTACAGGTGCCTGCCACCACGCCCGGCTAATTTTTTGTATTTTTTAGTAGAGACGGGGTTTCACCATGTTAGCCAGGATGGTCTCGATCTCCTGACCTCATGATCCACCCACCTCGGTCTCCCAAAGTGCTGGGATTACAGGTGTGAGCCACTGTGCCCAGCCTGGTTAAATATTTTTAACTCTGAATTTGGGATGTCATTTATTCCTATTAAATTTTATTTTTAGCTCACTTTTCGTCAATAAAACTTTTCTATTATTCAGTTTTTATTATCTAACTATACTCATTGCTGTGTTTTATTTCTCTCACTCTCTCATGATCCATGTTTGTGTGTGTGTAGCGTCAAAATACAGTTGTTCCTCAACACGGGTTAGGGGATGCCAACCACCCTTCCTCAGCCTTCATGTAGTCAAAAATTCATGTACAACTTTCAACTTTCTTAATTACTAATAGCCTACTGTCTAGCAGCCTCACTGATAAGTAATCAATTAACACGTATTTTGTATGTTTTTTGTGTTTTCTTTTTTTAACTTTTGCATGATGTAGAAGTGTGGGGGAGTCCAGTAAAAACCAGAAAACCTCCTAGACAAATTCTAAAACAGATGTGACACTGATATTTTGTGTGATATGTATTATACACTATACTCTTACCATAAAGTAAGCTAGAGAAAAAAATTAAGAAAATCATAAGGAAGAGAAAATATATTTACTATTCATTAAGTGGCAATGGATCGTCATAAAAGTCTTCATCCTTGTCTTCACGCTGAGTAGGCTGAGGAGTAGAAAGAGGAAGGGTTGGTTTTGATGTATTGGGGTAGCATAGGTGGGAAAAAATCTGTGTATATGTGGACCCACACAATTCAAGCCTGTATTGTTCAAAGGTCAACTGTATGTCTATATACATATTAATGTACAATGTTGCAAACTTCCCCATAACTCAGTGACATGTGTCTACAGTTCAACAGGGCAGTTCTGTCTTGCTGGGATATTAAGTCTAACTCAAGGATAGGCAATCAGTTGTGAAGTTAAAGAGAGCTCTGCTTATCTTGGCTAGGCTCTCACATGTTCAAGGTTATGTTTTCCAGCTGGTCTAGAACGGCCTAAGCTGAAACAGCTTAGTGGTTCTCCACAGGGTTTCTCATCCTCCAGCAGGCCAGCCAAGGATTATTTAGTTGGTGGTGGCAGGGTTCCTTGAGAAAGAGTAGACACTTGCAAAACCTTTATCCTAGGCTCAGAACTGGCTTACCACTCACTTTTCCACCTTACTCGACCAGAGGGAAGTCACAGGGCCAACCCAGATTTAAAAGGTGGGAAATAGACCACTTTTAGGGGAGAGACATCAAAATCATACTGCAAAGGGGATAGATACAGGGAGGGATAAAGAAATGTGGTTGTTTTTGCAATCAGTCTGTCATATTATCTTAGCTATCGTGCCTAATATATATTTCTCTCAGATTTGAGATGTATGATTTCATTCATCTCATTTGCTTAAAAGTATGAAACAGAACAGAGCCCCTTTGTACATTTCCTGTTTATAATTTATTATACAGAGCCTTTTGATTTTTCTTAAGTAATATTTCATTATCTGAAAAACTTAGGTACATCAGGTATGAAAATTTTCTAGTATTCCATTCTTCTAGATAGCTTAGTAAAATGTTAAAAGAAACCACGGCAAGTTTTAAAAACTGAATAAAGCCATTAAGTTCCTAGAGAGAGAAATTTGTTGTAATTCTTTTTATTTATTTACAGCATAATCATTAAAACATTTTTTGTTCCAGAAACATTTGGGATGCAAGCTTAGTTGTGGAGAGAATATTCAAGAGTGGCAACAGAGAGATCACTGCAGTAAGTCTGTATAATATTACTCTGTTATTTTTGTGTAGCCAGTTGATGGTATAAATGGTTAGATTGTTTCGCATTTGTTGCTATTACACAAATAAGATGGCAAAGGTTATTCTTTTTTTTTTTTTTTTTGAGTCAGGGTCATGCTCTGTCACCCAGGCTGGAGTGCAGAGGCCCAATCTCAGCTTACTGCAACCTCTGCCCTCTGGGGTCAAGTGATCCTCCCACCTCAGCCTCCTGAGTAGCTGGGATTACAGGCGTGCGCCACTATGCCTGGGTAATTTTTGTATTTTTTGTAGAGATAGGATTTCACCATGTTGCCCAGGCCAGTCTTGAACTCCTAGACTCAAGCGAACCACCTGCCTTGCTTCCCAAAATGCTAAGATTATAGGCAGGGGGCCCCAGCGCTTGGCAGGTTATTCTTTTATGTACATGTTTGCGTTCTTGGACAGCAAACTGCTTACCTTCAGGTTTAAATCTCATCTCTAACATTGATTGTCTGAGTATCAGTAAATTACTTAACATTTCAGAGCCTGATACCTCATGGTAAAAGAAGGGGAGAAGTATATCTCCCTCATAAGGTGTCGTGAGGGATAATTCCAGAAACTTAATATTGTTCAAAATTTACTATGTAATACTTTGACATATATATGAACAAAAACTCCATGGACCCAGCACTAATTTCCATGAATTGGCATGCTTTACAGACTGCTTTTTGCTCTTGTTGCCCAAGCTGGAGTGCAGTGGCGGAGTTTCGCTCTTGTTGCCCAAGCTGGTGTGCAACGGCACAATCTCGGCCCACTGTAATCTCCGCCTTCTGAGTTCAAGCGATTCTCCTGCCTCAGCCTCCCGAGTAGCTGGGATTACAGGCGCGCGCCACCATGTCCAGCTGATTTTTTGTATTTTTAGTAGAAGCAGGGTTTTACCGTGTTAGCCAGGCTAGTTTCGAACACCTGACCTCAAATGATCTGCCTGCGTTGGCCTCCCAAAGTGCAGAGATTACAGGCGTGAGCCACTGTGCCCAGCCCAAATATATTTTTTAATTGTGAGGCTCTTAAAGTTCATGAGTTGGGCACAGAGGCCCGTGCCTGTAACCCCAGTGCTTTGGAAGGCTTGAGCCCAGGAGTTCAGGACCAGCCAGGGCAACATGGCCAGATCCCTTTTCTACAAAATAAAATAAGATTAAAATTAGTCAGATGTAGTGGCATGTGCTGGTAGTTCCAGCTAATTAGGAAGCTGAGACAGGAGGATCACTTGAACTTAGGAGTCAAGGCTGCAGTAAGATATGATCCGCACCACTACACTCCAAGGCAACAACAAGACCCTCTCTCTCAAAAAAAAGAAAAAAAGTTCAAGTTTCTAAGAATAAGAATGTATTTGTCTAACACAGTATGTGATTCCATTTATATGAAGTTTAAAAACTTGCAAAATTAATCTATGTTGATAGGACTAAGAAAAGTAGTTACCTCAGAGGTGGGATGACTCATGGCTACAAAGGAACATGGGAAACTTTCTTTGGTGTTGGAGATTTTCTGTATTGTGGTCTAGGTAATGACTATACAGAAATATATAAAAGTAATCAAGATATTTTCTTAATATTTGTATTTTACTGTAAATTATGCATCAGTGTTACTGGCAGGAGAGGAAGTATGTAAGCATTATTGGATCAACAGGTGTGAATTGATGCAAGAAATAACTTTATAATTTATAGAGATAGTCATTTCAAAATTAAAATTGTTTATATTATAGCTATACAGAGGGTGTGTTTTTAAACTTTTGAAAATTCTTTCATTTTTACAGATTGAAAGTAGTGTTCCCTGCCAACTGCTAGAGTCAGTGCTACAAGAACTAAAGGGTTTGCAGGAATTTCTAGACAGAAATTCCCAGTTTGCAGGAGGACCATTAGGAAATCCAAAGTAAGAATATATAAGGTTTATTAATTCATCTTTTTCTTTTCGTTGTATTTTTTGTTGAGATAATTTGCATACTATAAAGTTGGTCCTTTTAAAGTGTCCAGTTTAGTATTTTTAGTGTATCTACAAGGTTATGCAACCATCACCACTGTCTGATTCCAGAACATTTTCATCACACCGAGAAGAAACTGTGCCCATGACCAGCCATTATTATTCATGGACCTTCCCCCAGTCCCTGGCAACCACTAATCTTTCTGTCTCCACAGATCTGCCTTTTCTGAATATTTATATAAATTGGAATATTTATATAAATATTTATATAAATGGAATATTTATAGTATACAATGTAATATATAAATATTTATATGAATATACTTATGTAAATGGAATATTTCTATAAATTTTATATTTACATAAATGGAATATTTATACAAATGTTATATTTATATAAATGGAATATTTATACAAATGTTATTTTTAAAATGGAATGTTTCTGTATTTTATTAATGGAATATTTCTATATTTATAAAAATGGAATATTTGTAGAAATATTTATATAAATGGAATATTTATAGAAACATTTCTATAAATGGAAGTATGCAACAGATAACCTTTGGTGTCTATTTCTTTCCCCAAGCATATTTTCCGGGTTTGACTGTTGTAGCATGTATTACTACTTTGTCTCATTTCTCAGTGTATCAGTTGATAGATATTTGTGTTATTTCACCTTTTTGGCTAATAAGAGTGCTGATATGAGCATTCCTGTACAAGTTTTTGTGTGGACATGTGTTTACATGGACTCTTGCTCTGTCGCCTAGGCTGGAGTACAAAGGCTTCATCTTGGCTCACTGCAACCTCCACCTCCCAGCTTGAAGCAATTCTCCTGCCTCAGCCTCCAAGTAGCTTAGATTACAGATGTGCACCACTATGCCCGGCTAGTTCTTCTTTGTATTTTTAGCAGAGACAAGATTTCACCATGTTGACCAGGCTGGTCTCGAACTCTTGACCTTGTGATCCACTGGCCTCAGCCTCCCAAAGTGTTGGGATTACAGGTGTGAGCCACAGCGTGCAACCAAGAATGGACATTTGGAGTTTTTTTGAGACAGCGTATCACTCTTGTCGCCCAGGCTGGAGTGCTGTGGTGCAACCTCGGCTCACTGCAGCCTCCCCCTCCTGGGTTCAAGCGATTCTCCTGCCTCAGCCTTCTGAGTAACTGGGATTATAGGCGCCTGCCACCATGCCCAGCTAATTTTTGTATTTTTAGTAGAGATGGAGTTTCACTGTGTTGGCCAGGCTGGTCTGTTTTTTTTTTTTTTTTTTTTGAGACGGAGCCTCGCTCTGTGGCCCGGGCTGGAGTGCAGTGGCCGGATCTCAGCTCACTGCAAGCTCCGCCTTCCGGGTTTACGCCATTCTCCTGCCTCAGCCTCCCGAGTAGCTGGGACTACAGGCGCCCACCACCTCGCCCGGCTAGTTTTTTGCATTTTTTAGTAGAGACAGGGTTTCATCGTGTCAGCCAGGATGGTCTCGATTTCCTGACCTCGTGATCCTCCCGTCTCGGCCTCCCAAAGTGCTGGGATTACAGGCTTGAGCCACCACGCCCAGCCTAGGCTGGTCTTAAACTCCTGACCTCAGGTAATCCACCATGCCCAGCAAGAATGGATTTTTTCTTTTTTTTTTTTTTTTTTTTTTTTTTTTAGATAGAGTCTCGCTATGTCACCCAGCCTGGAGTGCAGTGGTGTGGTCTCCACTTACTGTAAGCTCCGCCTCCCGGGTTCACGCCATTCTCTTGCCTTAGCCTCCTGAGTAGCTGGGACTACAGGCACCTGCCACCACATCTGGCACATTTTTTGTATTTTTAGTAGAGACGGGGTTTCACCATGTTAGCCAGGATGGGCTCCATCTCCTGACCTCGTGATCTGCCCACCTCGGCCTCCCAAAGTGCTGGGATTACAGGCGTGAGCCACCATGCGTAGCCAAGAATGGATATTTTTAAGCCTCTAAAATAATACGGACTTTTTGTTGAAAAAATAATAATCACATTGCATTCGGGGAGTCACATCACTCCTTACAATTGTTAACGGGTTATTAGAGTATAATCTTTTTAAAGCATATATAGACTGGGCAGAGTGGCTCACATCTATAATCCCAACACTTTGGAAAGCCAAGGCAGGAGGATTGCTTGAAGCTGGGAGTGTGAGACCAGTCTGGGCAATATAGGTGACCTTGTCACTACAAAAACATATAAATAGGCCAGGCGCGGTGGCTCATGTCTGTAATCCCAGCACTTTGGGAGGCTGAGGCGGGCGGATCATCTGAGGTTGGAAGTTCGAGACCAGCCTGACCAACATGAAGAAACCCCGTCTCTGCTCAAATACAAAACTAGCCGGGCGTGGTGGCACATGCTTGTAATTCCTGCTAGGAGGGAGGCTGAGGCAGGAGAATTTCGCTTAAACCTGGGAGGCAGAGGTTGCGATGAGCCGAGATAGTGCCATTGCACTCCAACCTGTGCAACAAGAGCGAAACTCTGTCTCAAAAGAAAAAACAAAAACAAATAATAAAGCATACATAAATATACACTTCTTTAAAAGCAAAAATAGAGTCTAAGTAAGTACACTTTTATGTAACATTGTTCATACTTTGTGTGTGTGTGTGTGTATGTGTGTGTGTATATATATATATATATATATGGTTGGTTTTTTTTTTTTTTTGGTTTTTTTTCCCCCCCCCCGAGACAGAGTCTTGCTCTATCGCCCAGGCTGGAGTGCAGTGGTGCAATCTCAGCTCACTGCAGCCTCTGCCTCCCAGGTTTAAGCAATTCTCCTGCCTCAGCCTTCCGAGTAGCTGGGATTACATGCGTGTACCACCATGCCTGGCTAATTTTTGTATTTTTAGTAGAGATGGGGTTTCACCATGTTGGCCAGGATGGTCTCCATCTCTTGACCTCATGATCCGCCTGCCTCAGGCTCCCAAAGTGCCTCCCAAAGTGCTGGGATTACAGGGGTGAGCCACCACACCCGGCCTGTCTTTATCTTTTAAGTAGGAGAACTTACCTCCTTCCCATTTTATTGGGATTAGTTAAATGTGGTTTATTGTTTTGGTTTGGTTTTTTTGGAGACAGAGTCTTGCTCTGTCGCCCAGGCTGCAGTGTAGTGGTGCAATCTCAGCTCACTGCAACATCCACCTCCCTGACTCAAGCTATTCTCCTGCCTCAGCCTTCCAAGTAGCTCAGATTACAGCCCCACACCACTATGCCTGGCTAATTTTTGTATTTGTAGTAGAGACAGGGTTTTGCCATGTTGGCCAGGCTGATCTTGAACTCTTGACCTCAGATAATCCACCTGCTTCAGCTTCCCAGAGTGCTGGTATTACAGGTGTGAGCCACTGCATCTGACCTAGTTAAATGTTTGATTTTTTTCTCTCCATCCTGAATTTGTGCTTTTTGTTTATTTTCTTCCCTTTGCCATTTCCTTATTGGATTGGATTGATCGGGCCTCTCTCTACTTAAACACCAATTAAGAAGTTCTATATATGATACTTCTTCCTCTATTAGTTTTAAATTCTAACAGACATACATCTCAGTCACCATTAATAATTTAACAAAATCTATTATTTCCTTTCCTTGCCTTCTGCCATAGCTCTCCCTCCAAATTATCTGGAATTTTACTTGTCAGATGTTTTTAGTTTGTTTGGTTTTTTTCCCAACATTGTGGTCTTTTGTTAATTGAATTTTACCATTACATCTACAATTATATGTAAATTTTCTAACCTACTTCTGATTTCTCTTAATTACTCATTTCTCTTTAGTTTTTAGCAGGATGTTTTTGAATTTTGATGTTTCTTGAATTTTCACATATGCAATTCTGTCATCTGCAGATAGAGATAGTTTCATCTTTTCCATCTTTTCTTTTCTAGCTCTACTTGCTTTCTCCTGTCTGCACAAGGTAATCTCTCTCTGTCTCTCTTTTTTTTGAGACGAGACGGAGTTTCACTCTTATTGCCCAGGCTGGACTGCGATGGTGTGATCCTCGGCTCGCTGCAACCTCCGCCTCCTGGGTTCAAGCAATTCTCCTGCCTCTGCCTCCCGAGTAGCTGGGATTACAGGCATGAGCCACCACGCCCAGCTAATTTTGTATTTTTAGTAGAGACGGGGTTTCTCCATGTTGGTCAGGCTGATCTCAATCTCCCAACCTCAGGTTATCCACCCGCCTCGGCCTCCCAAAGTGCTGGGATTACAAGCGTGTGCCACTGTGCCCAGCCACTAATCTCTCTCTGTCTTTTCTCTCTCTCTGTTTTTTTTTTTCTTTTTCAGGCAATCTTGCTCTGTCACTGAGGCTGGAGTGCAGTGGTGTGATCATTGTTCCCTGCAACTTCAAACTCAGCCGCCTTAGTAGTTGGGGCTACAGGCGTGTGCTGCCACAACTGGCTGATTTTTTCTTATTTTTCTCAGAGATAGGGTCTCACTGTGTTGCTCAGGCTGGTCTCAAACTCTTGGCCTCAAGTGATGCTCCCTCCTTAGCCTCCCAAAGTGCTGGGATTACAGGCATGACCCACTGCATCCTCCCTTACTGAGGTGTTTTTTGGTTTTGTTTTTTGAGATGGGTCTCACTCTGTTGCCCAGGCTGGAGTGCAGTGGCACGATCATGGCTCACCACAACTTTGACCTCCCAGCTTCAAGTGATCCTCCCACCTCAGCCTCCTGAGTAGCTGGGACTACAGGCACATGCCACCATGCTCAGCTAATTTTTTTATTTCATATTTTGTAGAGACAAGGTCTGACTGTATTGCCCATGTTGATCTTGCACTCCTGGGCTTAGGCGATCCTCCTGTCTTGGCCTCAAAAAATACTGGGATTATAGGCATGAGCCATCTGCACTCAGCCCTTATTGAATATGTTTAGTATATTCATATATTTAACATATTGAATATGCTTAATATATTCAGTAAGTGAGTTTGTCAAATGTATTTACTGCATTTTACAGAGATGATCATATCATTTTCCCTCTTTAACAATAGAATTATATCAATAATTAATCAATTATATGTCCTAATTTCGACCAGCCCCTGGATTTCTGTAACATTAGTTTCATTGAGTATGGAAATTTTTTAAACAGATTTTTGAGATCTACTTTACATACCACTAAATTTACTCATTTTGAATATTCAGTTTGGTGACTTTTAGTAAATTCATAGAATTGTGCAACCATTACCACAGTCCAATTTTAGCACACTTCCATTATCTAGGAGACATACCTCATGTCAATTAGCAGTCACTTTCCATTCCCACTTCTTAGTCCCACACACTTACTGATCTGTTCTATTTCTGTAGATGTGCCTATTCTTGACATGTCATATAAACAGAATCATACTGTGTGGTCTTGGAGTCTGGCTTCTTTCACTTAGTGTGTTTTGGGGGCTCATGTTTGAGATTTATGTTTTGGTATGTATTCATGTTTTGTTCGTTTTTATTGCCCAGTTAATGTGGAATTTTAAGATCATAGACCATTTCTCAGATCTTCGTATACATTTTGCACCATTTTCTTGCCAAAGTTTAGTGTTGTAGATGAAAAAGTACATTACCTGTATGATTCTCTTTCCTTTGTAAGTGACTTAGTGTTGACTTTGAAATTTTTTTGTGCTTTTTTCTTTTTATTACCAAAATTCAAAAATCACAACATGATGTCTTTAGGTATATCTTCTTTACAGCTCTCAGTGAGCCTTTAGAATGAACGTCTTGGCTTTAATCAGTTTTTTTCTCCTGTTTTTTATGTATCGTGGTACACATTGAGTATCCCTTATCTGAACTGTTTGGAACCAGAAGTGTTTTGGCTTTCACGGTTTTTTGGATTTTTAAGTATTTGCATTATACTTAGGTTGAGCATCCCTATTCCGAAAATGTGAAATCCAGAATGCTCCAATGAGCATTTCCTTTGAGCATCATGCTGATGTGCAAAACGTTTTAGATTTGGGGGCATTTCAGATGTTAGATTTTTTTTATTAGGGATACTCAATCTATATTTCTTCTGTCTCATTCTCTTTGGAGAATCATATTACTCTCTTGTATCTAGCTTGTTTCTTCTCCTGTAATTTCCTTCCTTTCTCTCCTTTACCCCCTCTTTTTGCTTGATCTTTTTTTTCTACAGATTAGGAAAATTTATAGCTGATGTTCTCAGTCATTTAATTGATTTAATCTCAGTCATTTTAAGTAGCATCTGTTTAGTCTGTCTCATAAATTTTTTTGGCCATCAAATTTTTAATTCCAAGAATTCTATTTTTTTTTTTTTTTTTTTTGAGACGGAGTCTCACTCTGTTGCCCAGGCTGGAGTGCAGTGACCGCATCTCGGCTCACTGCAAGCTCCGCCTCCCGGGTTTACGCCATTCTCCTGCCTCAGCCTCCCGAGTAGCTAGGACTACAGGCGCCCACCACCTCGCCCGGCTAGTTTTTTGTATTTTTTTAGCAGAGACGGGGTTTCACCGTGTTAGCCAGGATGGTCTCGATCTCCTGACCTCGTGATCCGCCCGTCTCGGCCTCCCAAAGTGCTGGGATTACAGGCTTGAGCCACCGCACCCGGCCAAGAATTCTTTCTTATTTGTTAATTTTTTTTTTTTTTTTGGGCAACCAGCCCTTCTGGTGATGGTTGCCCTACCTTATGAATTATTTTTAAAAATTATACATATTAAATGTTTGAATTGTACTGTGTAAGTATGTGTTATATCTCAATAAAGCTGTTATAAACACACACATTCTGCAATTCCTGTTTCAGTACTACTGCTAAAGTGCAGCAGAGGCTGATAGGATTCATGCGTCCTGAAAACGGAAATCCCCAGCAAATGCAACAGGAGCTTCAGAGGAAGTTTCATGGTAAATTACTGCTTCTCATCAGTTAAGCGTACATGACCTCAGTAAAATTTTATTACTTGAATAGAAAACAGTGGACTTTTCTTGGTAAAATGTACTTTGTACACAAATATTTGTAATTAAAATATCAGTGTAATTGGGTCTGGGGTGGTGGCTCACACCTGTAATACCACCACTTTGGAAGGCTGAGTTGGGAGAATCACCTGTTCCTGGGGGCAGAGGTTTCAGTGAGCTGAGATCATGCCATTGCACTCCAGCCTGGGTGACAGAGTGAGACCCCGCCTCAAAAATAAAAATTAAAAAAGTGTGATTGAGAAAGTAGGATAATGTGGATGTTGTATATTTCCCTCTTTTAGCATATACATTTTTGTTCCTTCCTGCACCAGAAAACATGATACACACCTATTTCATTACGATTTTTTTTTATTGTGGTAAAATATGTATATACCATAAAATTTACCATTGTTACTTTTTATTTATTTATGTTTTTGAGGTAGAATTTCACTCTTGCTTCCCAGGCTGGAGTGCAATGGCGCGATCTTGGCTCACTGCAACCTCCGCTTCTGGGTTCAAGCAATTCTTCTGCCTCAGCCCCCCGAGTAGCTGGGATTAGAGGCATGTGCCACCACACTGGGCTAATTTTGTATTTTCAGTAGGGATGGGGTTTCTCCATGTTGGTCAGGCTGGTCTCAAACTTCCAACCTCTGGTGATCCACCCACCTTGGCCTCCCAAAGTGCTAGGATTACAGATGTGAGCCACTGCACCCGGCCCCACTTTTACTTTTTTTTTTTTGAGACAGAGTCTCACTCTGTCGCCCAGGTTGGAGTGCAGTGGCACAATCTTGGCTTACTGCAAGCTCCGCCTCCCAGGTTCACTCCATTCTCCTGCCTCAGCCTTCTGAGTAGCTGGGACTACAGGTGCCTACCACCACGCTCAGCTAATTTTTTTTTTTTTTTTTTTTTTGTATTTTTTAGTAGAGACGGGGTTTCACCGTGTTAAGCAGGATGATCTCAATCTCCTGACCTCGTGATCCGCCCGCCTCAGCCTCCCAGAGTGCTGGGATTACAGGCATAAGCCACTGCGCCTGGCCTGTTTTTACTATTTTTAAGTGTGCAGTTCAGTGGCATTCAGGATATTGATTTTTATGTCCCCATTACCAATATCCATCTCCAGAACTTTTGTCATCTTCCCCAAAATGTCACTCTGGGCTGGGCACGGTGGCTCTCGCCTGTAATCCCAGCACTTTGGGAGGCCATGGCAGGTGGATCACCAGAAGTCCGGAGTTCAAGACCAGCCTGGCCAACATGGTGAAACCCCGTCACTATCAAAAATACAAAAATCAGCCAGGCGTGGTGGCAGGCTCCTGTAATCTCAGCTACTCTGGAGGCTGAGGCAGGAGAATCGCTTGAACCCAGCAGGTGGAGGTTGCAATGAGCTGAATTTGTGCCATTGCACTCTGGCCTGGGCAACAAGAACAAGACTCTGTCTTAAAAAACAAAATAAAAAACACCAAAAGTCACTCTGTCCCCATGAAATAATAACCCCCAATTTTTTTCCCCTATCCCAGGTCTCTGGCAACCACCAATCTACTTTCTGTCTCTGAATTTTACCACTTTGGGTACCCTATTAGAATGAAACCAAGCTTTTCATTTTGTGACAGGCTTATGTCACTCAGCTTACTGTCCTCAAGGTTCATCCATGTTGTAACATGTGTCAGAACTTCCTTCCTTTTTAAGATTGAGTAATTTCTATTGTGTGTATGTGCATATGTGCACACATACTACACTTCCTTTATCCATTCATTTGTTGATGGATGCTGAGTTACTTCCGTTTTTTGGCTATTGTGAACAATGCTGCCATTAACATGGGTGAACAAATAGGAATTAAAGTCTCTTCTTTCAGTTCTTTTGGGTATATACCCAGAAGTGGAATTGCTATATCATATAGTAATTCTATTACTAATTTTTTGATGAACTGCCATACTGTTTCATAGCAGCTACTGCATTTTATGTTTATGTTTATCTTTATTTCTTTTTGATACGGAGTTTCACTCTTGTCGCCCAGGCTGGAGTGCAATGGTGCGATCTTGGCTCACTGCAACCTCCACCTCCCAGGTTCAAGCAATTCTGCCTCAGCCTCCCGAGTAGCTGCGGTTACAGGCTACCACACCCAGCTAATTTTTGTATTTTCAGTATAGAGAGGGTTTCACCATGTTGGCCAGGCTGGTCTTGAACTCCTGACCTCAGGTGATCCACCCACCTCGGCCTCCCAAAGTGCTAGGATTACAGGTGTGAGCCACTGCTCCTGGCCAGCTACAGCATTTTATACTTCTAGTAGCAATGCACAAAGGTCCCAATTTCTTCACATCTTTGCCAACATTTGTCATTTTTCTGTCCTTTTATATATAGCCCTCCTAATGAACATGGAATGGCGTCTCATTGGGATTTCGATTTGCGTTTCCCTAATGATTAGTAATATGCCTTTTTATAGAGCTAAAAATATGAGTCAAATATTTCGTTGTGCTTTTTATCAATTATAACTAGTAACAAGGAAAGAATAAGGCAACTGAAAAGTTCTTATAATCTTCAGTTATTCCAGATACAAGTTAGAAGAATAATAAGTTATTGCATGGCCGGGCGCGGTGGCTCAAGCCTGTAATCCCAGCACTTTGGGAGGCCGAGATGGGCGGATCACGAGGTCAGGAGATCGAGACCATCCTGGCGAACACGGTGAAACCCCGCCTCTACTAAAAAATACAAAAAAGTAGCCGGGCAAGGTGGCGGGCGCCTGTAGTCCCAGCTACTCGGGAGGCTGAGGCAGGAGAATGGCGTAAACCCGGGGGGCGGAGCTTGCAGTGAGCTGAGATCCGGCCATTGCACTCCAGCCTGGGCGACAGAGCGAGACTCCGTCTCAAAAAAAAAAAAAAAAAAATAAGTTATTGCATGAACTTTTTGTGCCATTTAATTTTTTTTAAGTTCTTTTGCCTTCCATTGTTAGGGTTAGCGTTACTTTTTCTGGCCGTGATACAACTTTCTGGTTTGTTTGTTTTGAGACGGAGTCTCGCTTCTTCACCGAGTCTGGAGTGCAGTGGCGCAATCTTGGCTCACCACAACCTCTGCTTCCCAGGTTCAAGCGATTCTCCTGCCTCAGCCTCTCAAGTAGCTGGGATCACGGGCGTGTGCCACCATGCCTATCTGATTTTTGTGTTTTTAGTAGAGACGGGGTTTTGCCACTTTGGCCAGGCCGGTCTTGAACTCATGACCTCAGGTGATCCGCCCAACTCGGCCTCCCAAAATGCTGCGATTACTTGCGTGAGCCACCACGCCTGGCCAATAGAACTTTCTCAACACTCAACCATTTACTTTTATCCCAAGCTACTTTCTTCCCTACTCAGGACCCTAGGTTTCTATTCATCATTTTGTAAATTCTTTTTTACTGTCTTTTAAATTTTTTCTCTCTCTTCTCTTTTTTTTGAGATGGAGTCTCACTCTGTCGCCCAGGCTTCGCCTCCCAGGTTCACGCCATTCTCCTGCCTCAGCCTCCCAAGTAGCTGGGACTACAGGCGCCTGCCATCACACCCAGCTAATTTTTTGTATTTTTAGTAGTGACAGGGTTTTACTCTTTTAGCCAGGATGGTCTTGATACACTGACCTTGTGATCCGCCCGCCTCGGCCTCCCAAAGTGCTGGGATTACAGGCGTGAGCCACTGTGCCCAGCCTTAAATTTTTTCTCTTTTTTAAAAAATGTTGAAATTGTTTGCCTCTCCTCCAGTTTTGTTTCTGTTCTGTTCTGTTTTGTTTTGTTTCGAGACAGAGTCTTGCTCTATTGCCCAGGCTGGAGTACAGTGGTGCCATCTTGGCTCACTGCAACCTCCACCTCCTGCGTTCAAGCAATAATCGTGGCTCAGCCACCTGAGTAAGTGGGATTACAGGCATGTGCCACCACGCCTGGCTAATTTTTGGATTTTTAGTAGAGGTGGGGTTCTGCCATGTTGGCCAAGCTGGTCTCAAACTCATGGCCTCAAGTGATCCGCCCACCTCGGCTTTCCAAAGTGCTGGGATTATCAGCCATGAGCTACTGTGCCCAGCCACCATTTTGCAAATTTTTTTTCTGAGCGGCTAATGATATTTCAGTATGACTTTGAGATTACATTACTAAACATTGGTGAGGATTTGTACAAATAGGAGCATTTGAATTGCTGGCAGTTTATACTGAAACAACTGCTTTGGAGAGCAATTTGATCATATCTGGTAAAAGCTAAACATATATTCTGAAAGCTGATAGTTTCCCTTCTAGGTATATATCCTTAAAGGAGTTTGAACTTTTTCCCACAGTAAGAAATATATCTTATATGGCCAGGTGTAGCGGCTCACGCCTTTAATCCTAGCACTTTGGGAGGCCAAGGCAGTCAGATCATTTGAGGTCAGGAGTTTGAGACCAGCCTGGCCAACATGGTGAAACCCTGTCTCTACAAAAAAATACCAAAATTAGGTGGGCGTGGTGGTGGGTGCCTTGTAATCCCAGCTGCTCGGGAAGCTGAGGCAGGTGAATCACTTGAACCCAGGAGGCAGAGGTTGCAGTGAGCTGAGATTGTACCACTGCACTCCAGCCTGGGCAACAGAGCGAGACTCCATCTCAGGGGAAAAAAGAAAAGAAATATATCTTACATTATGACTCAGATGTTTAAAAGCATACATACAAACTAAAATAGATTTTCCTGAAGTATTTCTACTTGTTTTATACTCTGATATTTCTTTCTTTTTTGAATTCTTTTCTACTTTCTATATTTTGAGGGGTGAGCGAAAAGCTATCATCACTGACTAAACTGATTTCATGACTCGCCAGTGCATGTTGATCTAGGGTTTGAGAAACTCAGTCCTAGACTAACTTTACTGTGCTTTCTAGGAGATGTTCTTTAAGAATATTTATTGCATCATTGTTTTATTTTCAAAATACTAGAAACAGTGTAATGTCCTCCAAGTGAAAAATGGGCCAAATTGTGGTATACTTACATGATGGAACACTCAGTAGTGAAAATAAATGTACTAGATTTATATTTATCAGTGTAGATAGCCTGCGAACATATAACTGAGTAGAAAAAGCAATGGTGTATTTGTTAAAAATACAGCAGTTTTTTTTTTTTTTGAGATGGAGTCTTGCTCTGTTGCCCAGGCTGGAGTGCAGTGGCACAATCTCGGCTCATTGCAAGCTCCGCCTCCCGGGTTCACGCCATTCTCCTGCCTCAGCCTCCCAAGTAGATGGGACTGCAGGCGCCCGCCATCCTCCCCGGCTAATTATTTATATTTTTAGTAGAGACGGGGTTTCACCATGTTAGCCAGGATGGTCTCAATCTCCTGACCGCGTGATCCACCTGCCTCGGCCTCCCAAAGTGCTGGGAGTACAGGCATGAGCCTCTGCCCGGCCATGCAGCAATATTTTCATGGTTTATGTTTACCTACACAAACACAGAAGCATATGTATATACAGACACAGAGAGAAGATAAAAACATAAATACTACTGATTATCATAGTTGCCTCTAATGGGGGCTGGGAGGAAAACAATGGGGATTTCAACCTTAACTATGGTTTTTATTTTAAATAAAGCATCTTAACCTATGTTATTTTATAATAATTTATTAGTTTTGTTTTCTCATTAGAGGCTCAACTAAGTGAAAAGATTTCACTTCAGGCAATTCAGCAGCTGGTTCGAAAATCATATCAGGCTCTGGCTTTATGGAAACTTCTTTGTGAACATCAATTCACTGTCATTGTGGCAGAACTTCAGAAGGTAAGTTTTTTTTATTTTTTTATGATTGTACCATTAATACTATGTTTGGATTTTTTTGGATGAGTATTTTGGCTTTGGAGGAGATTATTTTGGGAAGCATTTACGTTAATAATCAAGTTAGTATGTTACAGGAAGATTGCACAAAAGCTTACTAACTTGGGGGACCTATTTTTTTCAAAGCCACAAGTTTTTACTTGTGGTTATGTGAATGAAATCATACTTTACAAAACATATTTTTTAAAACAGTGGACTATAACCTTTATTTGAGCTACAGGTTCTTCTGAGAATCTGATAAAAGCTATCTCTCACTACCCTTAAAGACATGCACATCAACATGGACACACAGACTTTTGCATATAATTTCAAAGGACCCAACAACCTAAATCAAATACTCTTGACTGGGCACCGTGCCCCCGCCTGCGATCCCAGCACTTTGGGAGGCTGAGGCAGGAGGATCACTTAAGCCTAGGAGTTCAGCACTATCCTGGACAAGATGTCAGGACCCATCTCTACTAAAAATAAAAAAATAAATTAGTCGTGTGGTGGCACATGCCTGTAGTCCCAGCTACTTGGGAAGCTGAAGTGGAAGGAGCACTTGAGCCTGGGAGGTTGAGGCACCAGTTAGCTGTGATTGTGCCACTGCGTCCTAGCCTGGGTGACAGAGTGAACCCTGTCTCTCTCTCTTTCACACACACACACAAACCACTCCTACTTCATTTTATGTATGTATTTTTGTTGTTGTTGTTATTTTAGAGATGGAGTCTCACTCTGTCGCCCAGGCCAAAGTGCAGTTGTACGATCTCGGCTCACTGCAACCTCCGCCTCCCGGGTTCTGGCAATTCTCCTGCCTCAGCCTCCCAAGTAGCTGGGGTTACAGGTGCACGCCACCCATGCCCAGCTAATTTTTTGTATTTTAGTAGAGACTGGGTTTCACCGTGTTGCCCAGGCTGATCTCAAACTCCTGAGCTCAGATAATCCACCTGTCTTGGCGTCCCAAAATGCTAGGATTACAGGCGTGACCTTCCGTGCCCGGCAACTGCTGTTAGAATATATAGAGGAAATTTATTCCCACCTTTTATTTGTGAGCATTTCTGAACGTATACAGAAGTAGAGCAAAAACTGTAACTCCCACATACATTTGACTCATTCAGCATTTTCAAGATATTGTGTTTCTTAAAAAAAATAGTTCCTTGAATAACAACAATGTCATTATCACAGTTACCAGTTTTTCTTGAGACAGTGTCTTGCTCTGTCTGGAGTGCAGTAGCACGATCACAACTCACTGCACCCTTGACCTCCCTGGGCTCCAGTGATTCTCCTACTTTAGCCTCCGGAGTAGCTGGTACTATAGGCACACACCACTATGCCTAGCTAAATTTTGGTGTTTTTTTTTTTTTGTAGAGATGGGTTTTCACCGTATCTCCTAGGTTGGATAGTTACCAATATTAACTATCAATATTTGATAGCAAAATCTGTCTGAAAAATGTCTTTTTACAGATTGGTTCATTCAAATCAGGATCTAAACAGTTTAGTTGGTTTGCTCGTGGAATTTATTGTTTATCTTTCATCTGTTTCAATCTGAAGCAGTCTTTCCTTCTTTTTCTTTTCCTTGCTGTTGCCTTGTAGAAATCCAATCATCAATCCAGTAGCATGTCCAGCATTGTAAGGACATTCTAAGGCTTTTTTTTTTTAACCCTCTTCGTAGTGAACTTCTTCCTCTATCTCCTGCATTTTCTATAAAATGAAAGTTTATTATATAGGCTTGATTCGGTTCAGCTCCTTTTTTGAGGAAGAATAGAATACTTCATAGGTAGTGGTTTGTTCATCAGACTGTTAGAAGACACAAAAGGTTTCATTGTCCTTTTAGTGATACTGAGATGGATTGCTGGATTCAAGTAGTAAGCCTAATACTGCCATTGTGGAATTCTCCATCAGACTTTAATCATCCATTGATAATCATTGCTGGAATTTATTATTTCATTTAGGATTACAAAAGGGGAATATTTATTTGTTCATTTTTTATTTTTTTGAGACAGTGTCTCGTTCTGTCACCCAGGCTGGAGTGCTGTGGAGCGATCTCAGATCACTGCAACCTCCACCTCCTGGGTATAAGCAATTATCCTGCCTCAGCTTCCCGAGTAGCTGGGACTACAGGCATGTGCCACCATGCCTGACTGATTTTTGTATTTTTAGTAGAGACAGGGTTTCACCATGTTGGCCAGGCTGGTGTTGAACTCCCGACCTCAGGTCATCCACCCACCTTGGCCTATCAAAGTGCTGGGATTACAGGCAAGAGCCACTGTGCCCGGCCAAAAGGATATTTTAAATCTGTGATTCCTTCCCCAGTTACTAGCTGCAATTCTGTAAAAAAAAAAATTTTCCTGTCCTATATGGATATTTCATTACTCTGAAACGCTTAATTTTTGACTCTTGTATACCATTTTTCAACGTTAGAAGGCAATCTCCTAATTCTTTCTACTAGTGTCCAATGAGTAGATACTGTTTTTTCTTTTTAAAAATTCAAGCTAATATATTTAATTATGAAACTGTTAGCGTTTTCATACCAAGTAGAATAATTTTGAGTTTTATTGAGTGATAAATATATTGTAGGTAGGTTTTTATCCTGGGTATGTTTTGTGATCCATCTTCAAAGCTCTCTTCCTTACATCACCAATTGTGTGCTCAATGAATGCAAATTAAAGATTTGTTCAAGAATTTTAACACAGTTTCGATATTTCCTTGAATTTAGAAAAAAGAGATAGCAGTCACCTCACTAACAGAATCTTTTACTATAGTATAAATCAATACTTTAGAGCTTCATTTGGACAAGCACATTTGTTCACAATACAGATTAAACTCCATTATTATAAGGTCTAGAATAATGGAATTCTAACAGTATTTAGGAAGAAGTAAAATGTAAGCCCAAGATTTTCAAATGTAGCCAAGTGATTGTTTTTTCCATTTTATAACCAAAGCGAGGAGATCTGGCTCTAGTTTTGGCTCTACTTAAGCTTTACTTTTCTCATTTGGAAAGTGAGAGTTTTGGACTAGATCTACTGTACGTTCTTTTCCAACTCTGTATGATTTTATGTAAGTTTGCAAAAATTTGTTTCTACTAATTAGTATATTTTCACTTTTCAGTTACAGAGTCTATCAATGTTTAGGTTATTTTAAGTTATTACAATAATTTCATTATGTTTAGTAATATGGTATTTTTATAATTGTGATAGAAAAGTTTTATGCTCGTAGGAACTTCAAGAGCAGCTGAAGATCACAACCTTTAAAGATCTTGTAATCAGGGACAAAGAACTCACAGGGGCATTAATTGCTTCTCTTATCAACTGCTACATCAGAGATAATGCCGCTGTTGATGGCATTAGTTTACATTTGCAGGATATCTGCCCACTTCTGTATAGCACTGATGATGCCATTTGTTCCAAGGTATGATACTTTATTATCTATTTCATTGTTAGTTATAAGAGGTATCATGTATGATGAACCATCTTGTTTCACTTAATATAGGACCTCAGTCAGTTAGATCTCTTAACCTCTCCTAGCCTCAGGATCCTCATCTAAGAAAGGGGTTGGAATATGTGGCTTCTTAAAACCTGTGTATACTCTTTTAAGCTTAGCTTTTCTTTTTAAAAATATTTTTGTTTATTTATTTGACACAGGTTTTCACTCTGTTGCTTAGGCTGTAGTGCAGTGCTGTGATCATAGCTCACAGCAGTGTCTAAGTCCTAGACTCAAGCAGTCCTCTCACGTAGCTGGGGACTACAGGTGTGCAGCACTGCACCCAGCCACATTTTTTCTTTTTCATAGAGACGTGTTCCGATTTGTTGTACAGGCTAGTCTTGAACTCTTGGCTTCAAGCAGATCCTCTTGCCTCAACCTCCCATAGTGCTGGGATTATAAGTGTGAGCCGCTATGCCCGGCCCTCCTTTAAGTTTTTCATGAAGAATCTTCTATTTTTTTAATATATTTTTATTTATTTATTTTTTTTTTTATAAGACAGAGTCTTGCCCTGTCGCCCAGGCTGGAGTGCAGTGGCACGATCTCAGCTCACTGCAACCTCCACCTCCCAGGTTCAAGTGATTCTCCTGCCTCGGCCTCCCAAATAGCTGGGATTACAGGTGTGCACCACCACACCCGGCTAATTTTTTATATTTTTGGTAGAGACACGGTTTCACCATGTTGTCTAGGGTGGTCTTGAACTCCTGACCTCCGCCTGCCTCAGCCTTGCAAAGTGTTGGGATTATAGACATGAGCCTCTGTTCCTGGCCCATAAAGAATCTTTGATAGTGTTTTTAGGCCATATTAAAAAGTCAAAGGTGAGAAATTAAGAAAAATCACTAAATCTACAAATTAAGAAAATTTAGGGAATAATTTATCTCCTTAGAAGTTAAGGAAAAGTACTAAAACTTCAAGTAAATCTTTTGGTGAATTATAGTTAATGGGGGCATTTTTATTGATCCTTTCCTACAGGTGGAAAAAATAAATAAATGAGTGTCGCATGGACTGCCTGCTGCCCAATAATGTATTGACTAGGCAAGATAATTACCAGACAAAAACTCTCTTGCTTAACATATTTGTGAGAGGAATTAAGAATAGCTAGGAATTTTTGGTCAAAAACTTTTCTGCCTAAAATTAAGAAGTAAGTTTGTAGAGTTGTTTTCATTTTTAATGGTAATAATCATATATAAATTTAGACATAGACTAAAACTTAGTTGACAGCATCATCTGTCTGCTTGGTTTTATATATTTTTAAGTTCTTGTTATCTCCTCTTCTAGGCAAATGAGCTTCTCCAGCGTTCCCGACAAGTTCAAAATAAGACTGAAAAAGAAAGAATGTTAAGGGAATCATTAAAGGAATATCAAAAAATTAGCAATCAAGTGGACCTTTCCAATGTTTGTGCTCAGTATAGACAAGGTGAGAAATAAAATGTTTCTTGTATTTTTTACTCAACTCAGAAGATAAATGATAGTGTATGAATGAAGCGAGCTAATGATGAAAAGCCACTTTCCAGACGCAAATCTTCTTTCAACATCAGAGGCCGAGTGAAAGGACATAGGAATGTCGTATCATTGTGTTGCCATATTTGATGACTACACTGACCTGCAGAAGCTGTAATGGTCTTTTTATCTTTTGAAATGTATAAGTTTTGTTTGTTTGTTTGTTTGTTTTTTGAGATGGAGTCTCTCTCTGTCAGCCAGGCTGGAGTATAGTGGCACGATCTCAGCTCCCTGCAGCCTCCGCCTCCCAGGTTGCAACAATTCTCCTGCCTCAGCCTCCCTGGTAGCTGGGATTACAGGCAC